GCAAATAAACACGAAACTAAATGAATTTCTAACTAGAGTTGAAAACGTATAAAAACATAATCTAAAGACAAAAACCACGGTGTCTTAGGCTCCGTCCAGTATAGGTCTGATTTTGAATTTTGAATTTTAGTTTTTAAAAATTTATAAACCCTAAAATAAAATTAAGTACTTCTATAAATTAATTAAATTTAGAGTTTTAAATATTTGTTTTAAAATTTTATATCTAATAAGTTGACAATTTTAATTTTAATTTTTAATTTTTAATTGATAATTTGATTGTTTAAAATTTGAAAATAAAAACTAAAAACTAGAAACTACAACCATACCAAATGAAACCTTAAATTCGGTTTAAAATTGCAACCATTTTTTGTTTTGAATTTTGATTTATTTATTTATTCATAATTTCATGTCTCTAAATACAGTCTTAGTTGCTATATTTTAAAGGTTAAAATCTCTTTTTGGTCCCTCTACTTTAACAAAAAAAAAAACTCATTTTTAGTCCATACAGTTTAAAATCCAACCCTTTTTGGTCTCTCCATTAAATTTTTTTACAGGTGACAGTTAATTAACAAAATCGTGTAATTTATTTTTTATATAAATAACATGAAAAATTCATGGTGTAAAAAATGATGATATGACATCTCATGTACTAATATTAAATACAAAAAACTGTTTTATAGAACGGATTGTATGTAGTCCACATTGTAAAATTATTTTCGCCTTATAAAATAGTTTTTTGTATTAAATATGATGTGCAATTTGCTTTTGATTTATCAAAAAAAATGATATGTAATTTTAATAAATATATATTAATTATAAAAGTTGAAATTACAAATTTACCCTTAAACTTCATCTTCAACCTCCCCATCTCCCCTCTCCATCTAAACCAGAGCCTTCTCCCTCCCCACTTTCTCTCCTTTCCTCTCCTCTCATTTTGAACATTGGGTCTTTTTCTTGATAAATCGGCAATGCCTACTCCAAAAAAACATCTCACCATGAACCCAAGCAAAAATAAGAGAAATCCTACCCAGATTTGGTTTCCTCTCTTGCCCCTTCTTTCTTTAGATCCAAATGCAATTTAGAAAATCCTAATCCAATGGCTCATTCTTCCATCCTCAGCCCCTAGTTTTCACAATCCTACACCACTAGCAACTCCTACCATTGCCGCCATCGACCCATTCATGGACCAGATAATGACCAACTTCAACAAAATCGTTACCAAACCATTGATACCCTCCCAAGGTCTTTTCCTCATTTCCTTCTCTTCTCCTTTCTTCTCCCTTCCTTTCCTCCTCCATCTAAACCAAATCATGGTTCATGATTGTCATGCAAGCCTTAAGTGAGGAACCCAAATCTAGGTTATTGTTGCACACCTAGAGGTTGCCATGTAAACCCTAATCGAAACCCAAATTTTTCTATTGAAATTGGTTTTGTTTTCTTACTCGTTTAGATGCTGATCAGACATGGATTACACCACCACATCCATCATCCCTGTTTTCTTGACTGGAAGTGGTGTTTATTGTTTGGTTTCTTAGAAAGTTAGAGAAAATATAAGAAAATAAAGTGGTAATTTGCAGCAGAAATTATATTAGTGATTTTTAAGAATTATGTGTTTTAATTTTGAACATGCAATAAGAAATCCAAGGTTGAACCCATTGTAGATGAGTTTTTTAAGAATGAAAATTTGTAGATTTATAGATGATTATTCGAAGAATAAACAAGAAGAAATTGTTTCTTCTTTTTTTTTTTTAATCCAATTAAACATAAATGATTTAATCTAATGAAAGTTAAATGAGTAATTAAAGTTGGTCAATGAGTAATTAAAATTAATCATATTATAATTTAAAGATTAAGAAATAAAAATTTATTTTTACCGAAAAAACTAATATATTTATATAAAATGCTGACATAGACTCAAAAATATGTTTACATCATTTTTTTTTACGAAATAGATTTTCCACGTCGCGCAATTCTGTTAATTGGTAAAAAAAAAAATTTAACAAAGGGACCCAAACAAAATCTGATTTTAAACTTTAAGGACTAAAAATGAATTTTTTTAAAGTAAAGGGACTAAAAAAGGATTTTTTTTGTTAAAATAGAGGAATCAAAAAAGAATTTTAACCTATTTAAAAAAAAAAAATCAAATCCAAAAACTTGAAATATAACGATACCAAACAGAGCTTAAGGCTAGATACAGAAAATAAAAAAGACACACTGGATCATTAAAATATACACAGAACTTTCGAAAATAGAAAATTTGATTACTGAAATCTTTGAGTTATTTAAGAAGTTTATACAATAGATGCAATTCTTATTTAGCTAAAACAAGAATAGAATAATTGAGAAGGGGTACTATTGTTGTAATCTTATAAATGTTAAATATTTAAACTGAAATATTGGTGTTTATTATATGAATTTTTAAAAAATTAGGGGTGAAGATTCTTCGTTATTTTAATAACATATTACGAAAAAAATACTAAAACAAACGTCATTCCTAGTTCAAAAACATGTTATTTTAGTCTCTTTTTATGGAAGTTTATTAAAATTTTAGGTGTTTTTTCTCTTAATTTTTTACAAATCCAATGAATAAACAAATTTTCCGAAAAGTATAAAAATTAAGAATACCAAAAAAGAAAAAAAAAAGAAAAGAAAAAAAAAAGCACTTGATATTGACCACTTGGGTTGTATATTCAAACTAAAAACCGCTTTTTAGTTCAATCTTTAAAAATACTTATAAAATTATTTAAATACTTTTAATAAATTTTTTTACACATTAATTTATTAAAAATATTTAATTAATTTTATAAACATTCCTGGCTTCTTGCACTTTTTTTCTTGCAAGTCGACTTGAGAGTCTGCAACCTCATATTCAAATCATCAAGTAATTTTCCGACAAATTAAATTAAGAGAAAATTGTTTTTCACATAGTCCACCCTAAAAAACAATTTTTCATTAAAATAATACCAGAATTTTTATATATAATTTATATTGTACAATCTATTTTTATCTAATTTTGTATTCTTATGTTCATATTATATATCTTGACCAATGTAACTAGAGATAGTATTTTTACACCTAAATTTTACACAAAAATCATAATAATTCATTTTTCACATATTAATGGCTAAGATTCATCATGACATGAAAAGAAAATCAACTCCAAAAAAATAAGATAAATAGAGATAAATCTATTAAGAATTGAACGAGAAGAATTTTATGTAGAACTTATCTATAATTTGATATCATGAATAGATGAGACCTCTTATGTACAAGTTTTACATAAAATTATAACTATATATTTTTTATTATTAATTACTGAAAGTTATTAAGATTTTTCAGGTGAAAAAAATTAACTAAAAAAAATAATATAAAGATTAAATAAATTTCAGTCATTTTTAATAAAAATTATCCCAAAAGAAAATGCATACAGTAACTAAGACTCGTACCTTCTCCATGGAGATAAGCGGCAGTCCAACTGGTAATTCCTCAAGGCTCTCCCTGTTGGATTGTATAACTCCATGGCATTTAACTGCAAGGAATTTTTTTAACATAGGCCACACTTTTACGTGATTCCGTGGGTAGAAACATCTGATTCTTGGTAAAAATCGTAGGTAAAGAATTGATAAACGAAGAAACACAAAAGTGGGAACTGCTTCATCTCCCTCTCCGAATGCTACAACTTCCTCTATCCCGCAGCGCTCTAACTCCAACCTTTCAAGTTGCTGAAGTTCCATAGCCATTGAAGTTTGAAATAAATTTTGGAGGTTCGGACAACCATGAGCTTTCACAGACTGCAATTTTTGAAAAGTAAGAATACCACGAGGATCCCTGGTACACACATGCTTCAGTCTTGGTAGATTACAAAGATGCACATGCCCTAACTGGGTATGTGTTACACCATCGACCTTGACTTCTCCAATTTCGAATATCTGTTCTACACCACAACAACGATATACATGCAACCGTTCTAGTGATGCGCATAATCTCTTCGGTACATCGGATGAAAAAATAGTTGATAATTTGTCACAACTCCCGATATGCAATGATTTTAGTTTGCAGTAAGAATTTGCAGGAAGCTGGTTGTGCCATATGATCCTCAATTCCAATCCTTTGACGAATAAATTTTCCAAGCTGGGAAACGAAACCTGCATTTATTTTTAATTAATCAAAAATAGATGGTACTCAGAATCAATTCCTAAAGTTAGTCAAAATGCATTTAAAAATGAAGAAACTATACCTTCTCATTAAAAAGGGGTTCTAGTCCACCTGTCATATCTGTGCTCGCATGATTGAATGTGAAACCCTTCAATTCTGGACAGTGCTCGATAAATAATTGCTTTAAGGCTGGGAATTCAACACTACAATTTCCGGAGCAGAATCCAGTAAGCTTTTCAAGATGTTCTATCTTTAGGATTTCTAACATTGGGAACGAAATCTTATCCTCCATATCCTCTGCATTCTCTGGTTCAATTATCTCCCTTATCTCCTTGCATTTCTTTATTTCAAGGCATCTAAGCTTCACAAGACTTTTAGCCATGGAGGATGACAATAGGTGTTCCAAATGATCACAGCCCTCAATGATCAATTTTGTCAGAATCTGAATGCAAGAAGATGCAGTTGAAAGGTGGCTGCCCCATATACTCTTAATGTTAATACAGGACAATTGTAACTCCTCCAGGTTTGGAAAGACAATCTGAAAAAAAAAAAAAATGGAAGGAAGAAGAAGAAAAAGAAGAAAACCAAGACTTAATTTCTACTAGGAAAGTTGAATAAGACATCACTAATTAAACGGATAAAAACTATACTTAATTTCCACAGGGGAAATTCTAATAAAGCATTGACATATTAAGGTTAAATCCTCATTTTGATCCCTTTACTTTGGTAAAAAAACCCTTTTTTAGTTCCCTTACGTAAAAAAAAAAACTTTTTTTAGTCCTCTTACTTAAAAAAACCCCTTTTTTAGTCCTCTTACTTAAAAAAACTCATTTTTAATCCCTAAAGTTTGAAATTCAGCCCCTTTTTAATTTCTTTATTTTGAGATTTTTGTTGAGATAATGTGTCATGTGACAAAAACTTAATAGATGGACTAAAAATGGGTCAGATTTCCAATTTTAGAAACCAAAAAAGGATTCTTTTTAAGTAGAGGAACTAGAAATGGGCTTTTTACCAAAGTAAAAAGACCAAATTGAGGTTTTAACAACATATTAACCAGCAGCTATCACATATATAGCTTTAAAAATTCAACTTAAATAGTAATTTTCATCAATTCCTTACTTAGAGCATAATAAGTCTCCACTAAGTTCCTTCTAATTGCTCTGTTTAGTTTTTATGTACACCAATATACTGTATAAAAGAAAATTTAAATACCTTTTCATCGAAAAGGGATGCCCAGTTGGAGCTTGGATCATTTGTTTCGTCATTTCCACGGCATAGCCTAATGAACTTCGGTAAATATTGCAATTGCAAGGACCGTAGTTGGACAAGCTTAAAAGGTTCACTTGCTTCTGCTATTTCCATCACCGCTTGCAACTCCTCATCAACAATCTGTGTCATATTGCTACACTGCGTCACTCTAATTTCTTTGAGTTCGTGAAGTTGTCTAGCTATTGAGAATGCAAACAATGTTTTCAACTGATTACAAGATTTAACAGTTATAATTCTTAATCTGCTAAAAGATGTTCCTCTGAACCGGGAATGACATATCTCCGCCAAATTCTCCAAATTCTGCAGAAAAAGTTCTTCCAAGAATGGAAATACAGACCCCACTGATGAGTTGACAATATGTTCAACCTCTGGAGCATTTTTGACATGAAGATACTTCAGTTCCTGAAAACCTGCAGCTTCTAACTCATGAACTACATTCTTGAAACCTTTCAACACCTCTAAATGTAGTTGTTCTGTTTTCTTCAACAGCATGAAAATTGAATGACTATAACTAATGCTTGTATTCAGCTCCAGCTTCAATATTTTTGAGCTTTTGAAGGAACAACGGCAGTAATCGTAGTGATTCCACACCTCTCCAATGAAGATCTTGTATATTTTCAATCTCTCAAATAACAAGCCAACTTTTAGAATTTGCTGGACATCACATACATGTACATCTAAAGCAGCCAGGTTACGCAAATCTTTCAACTCAGCAAGGCTAGCATTTCTTTGATTTCCTCCTTCCCCAACATCCCATTGATCGAAGCTATTTCTCAGATATAGCTCTTCTAGTTTGGACAAACTCGCTAAGACATGTGGCTGAATCATTTTGAGTTTAGTACAATCATTCAAATCTAAGATCTTTAGCTGCGTTAGCTGTCCAATTTCTACCGGTACCTCTACAATATCTGATCGTGAAAGGCTAAGGACTTCCAAACTCGTCAGCTTGCCAATAATAGCCATGTCTTCTAAAACACCTCCATTCACATGTAAGGTATGAAGGTTTTTTAGGAGGAAGGTTGATGAAGGCAAGGATGAGAAATGCATATTAGTGAAATCCAAGACTCTGAGTTTTTGTGTTCCCCGAAAAAAGTTTTCTGGAATTTTCATAGAAGAATTGTTGCCGCGCAAAAAAAACAAGATAAGCTGTGGACATTCCAACTCATCAGGAAGATCCCTAATATTAGTATATTGTAGACAAATCCATTTGAAATCTTCCAATGCCTCCCTATCTGACAACTCTTTTGGTATATGGTCTTCTATTAATGATAACAGATGGTGGTCCCTTAAGGCAATTGATATGGCAACATCACGTACAATATCATGCATATCAAACCAACCATTGCTAGGACCATCAAGCAGCAAAGAAGAGGACTTTAGATTACTAACCAATGTTAGTACTCTGTCTCGAGCCTCTCCTGTTGTCTTGACATTAGGGAATAAGCCTAAGCCGATTCCATAACTTAGCAGGTCTTCAATAGAAGAATTGTGTCCCAACAAGCAACAAAGCAAGAAAGTTTGCTGGAGCTCTTCTCCTTCTAAATGGTTGTAACTCAATTCTATTGCTAGATAAACATTTGCAGGTATCGCCGTGGAACGCTCTTGACAGGGCCTTTTCAGTTGTACTAGAGCATCCCTCCATACATGAGCATCCTTACCTTTCAAAGCTTTTGCTACTGCTCCAACAGCCAGTGGCAGCCCAGCACATTTTCCCACTATCTCTGTTGCCGTAGGCAGTAACTCAGAGTTTTCAACTTCATCACCAACGATCCTCTTCAGAAGCGTCCATGCTTCTTCAGCTTGTAACGTACCAACTTGGATGTTTTCACGAGTACCCATGCATGATAAAACATTGAGATCTCTAGATGTGAGGAGAATTTTGCATTGCATCTGTTCTTCAGTTGAACTGGCCTCATTCTTCTTATTTTCAAATGGAATTCCAAGTTCACCCAAATCTAGCCTCGCCCAGATATCATCTAAAATCACAAGAATCTTCTTTTTCCTCAAATACTCCTTTATCTGATAGGCCCTCCCAAATTCAGTCTCCCCACAGAGCTCTAGATGTAATTGATCTGCAATTTCTCCTTGAATTTTCTTCAAGTCTGGTTCCTTTTTCACAGAAGCCATAACTATCACATCAAATAACCGCACATCCTTGGCTTGTCTAGCAACCTCTTTGGCTAACATGGTCTTGCCCACCCCAGGCAGCCCATGGATGCCTATCTTGTCAACACTAGCACTTCTCAAGGCCTCCATAACACGGTTCAAAGTTGGCATTCTTGAGTCAAATTGCTCAAAACCTTCAGCTAATGCAGTGAATATCTCTTTTGGAGGAGGACGGATGGAAATTGGGAACTTGAATCCGGCAGCTTCTTCTAGAAGTGGAGCAACAGCCTCCAAATACTCCTCTACTTTCTTGCTAATTTGGTAACGGGCCCTGGGATTAGGACACAACCCAGCGAAGCACTTCTTCTTTGCTTTGTCTTCGTCATCTCCTAACTTCTCCATCTCTCCAATGTACTCCTCTGCACTTGTAAGCCAATTCATGACATTCAGTGCGGCCTCTTCCCCTCTTCGT